CCCCTTCCTTCCCTCCCTCCCCTCCCTCCCCTCTCCTCCCCTCTCCTCTGTGCTCCTCTCCTCCGCAGGCCGCAGTGCAGTGCCAGCAGGGGGAGCCAGAGGGACCGGAGGACGGCGGTCCTGCCTCTGCCAGCGGCCCAGCTTCCACAGTGGTGCCTCGGTGATGGCCAAGGCTGGGCAGCTGGCTTCCCCCCCGCCCCCAGGCCCTGTCAAATGGCCAAAGAATGCCATCCCTCCCTGATTCCCAGTGAGTGAAACCTGTCCTGTTCATTCCTTCCTTCCTCATTCATTCCTGCGCCATCACTTCCGGGGCCTCCTGGGGAGCTGGGGCGCCGTGGGCCCTGGCTGTGAGGGGCCTCCGGCACCCCAGTCTGAGGAGACGCTGTGAAGCGGCTGAGCTGGGCCCATGCGTGCCCCCGGGAGGCCCTGCACCGCTCCCTGAAGGGGCGAGGCTGTGGGCAGAGGGTGTCCCAGGCAGAGGAGGCGTCTGGGCAGGGCCCGCCCGTGTGCCTGCCCGCGGTGTGGGAGGATGGGCCGACAGGGGGGGACACAGGGTGCCCTGTGAGCGGGTGGGAAGGCGGCCGGCCGGGAGGGGTCCCTCCCCGACAGCGGCCCCAGTCCCCCTGGCTCGCTCGGCCCCAAAGCTGCCGCCCAGGCCGGCGGGTGGACAGAAGAGGAGGCCTGTCTGAGCTGTGAGTGCGGAGGAGAAGGGGCTCTCAGTGGTTGTCGAGGAGATGGGCCGGTTCGCTGCACTTTCTCCTGAGTCCTGTGCTGAGGCCATTGATGCCCGCCGGGCGGGGCTTAGTTCGGGCACGGAGGCGGCGGCGTCAGGTGCGGCCGGCGGACCCAGGGCTCCCGCTGCCCGGACCCCCCGCCCGTCTGTGCCCGCGGCCTCCCCTCCGGTCTCCGGGCATCAAACATGGGCAGCCGATGGGCGGCCAGGACCCCCAGGGAGGGTGCCCCCAGGGAGGGTGCCCCCCGCAGTGAGGGTGCCCCAAGGAAAGGTTCCCCCCAGGGAGGGTGCCCCCTGCAGGGAGGGTGCCCCCAGGGAGGGTGCCCCCCAGGGAAGGTTCCCCCCAGGGAGGGTGCCCCCAGGGAGGGTGCCCCCCGCAGTGAGGGTGCCCCCAGGGAGGGTGCCCCCCGCAGGGAGGGTGCCCCCAGGGAGGGTGCCCCATAGTGAAGGTGCCCCCCGCAGTGAGGGTGCCCCCCAGGGAAGGTTCCCCCCAGGGAGGGTGCTCCCAGGGAGGGTGCCCCCCGCAGGGAGGGTGCCCCCCAGGGAGGGTGCCCCCCGCAGTGAGGGTGCTCCCAGGGAAGGTGCCCCAGGGAGGGTGCCCCCCACGCCTGGCTCGGTGATGGTCCTGGGACAGCGCTCAGGACCCTGCCCTCGGGGAGCAGGAAAAGGTTCATTTGTCAGGAACGGGAACGTACATTTCCAGCCCATCGGCACCGCTCTCTCCTGCGCGGCCAGCTCCGCCCTGCCGGCAGCAGCACCCAGTGGGTGTCAGTGAGCGGTCAGTGCGGTCAGTGTGCGCTTCTGCTCTGAGCACCGGTTTCTTCCCCTGGGAACGGCCGTCCTAGCCCTCCGGGACCCCGTGTGTGTGAGTGTGTGTGTGTGTGTGTGTGAGTGTGTGTGTGTGTGTGAGTATGTGTATATGTGTGTGAGTGTGTGTGTGTGTCTGTGTGTGTGTGTGAGTGTCTGTGTGTGTGTGAGTGTGTGTGTGTGAGTGTGTGTGAGTGTGTGTTTGTGTGTGTGTGTGTCTGTGTGTGAGTGTGTGTGTGTGTGTCTGTGTCTGTGTGTCTGTGTGTCTGTGTGTCTGTGTCTGTGTGTGAGTGTGTGTTTGTGTGTGTCTCTGTGTGTGTTTGTGTGTGTGTGTGTCTGTGTGTGTCTGTGTGTGAGTGTGTGTCTCTGTGTGTGTGTCTGTGTGTGTGTGAGTGTGTGTGTGTGTGTGTGTGTGTCTCTGTGTGTGAGTGTGTGTCTCTGTGTGTGTGTCTGTGTGTGTGTGTGTGTGAGTGTATGTGTGTCCGTGTGTGTGTGTCTGTGTGAGTGTGTGTGTGAGTGTGTGTGTTTGGGTGTGTGTGTGAGTGTGTGTGTGTGAGTGTGTGTGTCTGTGTGTGTGTCTGTGTGTGAGTGTGTGTGTGTCTGTGTGTCTGTGTGTCTGTGTCTGTGTGTGAGTGTGTGTGTCTGTGTGTGTGTGTGCGCGCGGGGGGCCGGGGTGGGGGCCGGGACGGGGTGCAGCCCCTCGATGCCCGGGTGCAGGGGGGAGCGGACAGGCGGAGGGAGCAGCTCCGTGTGCCCCGCCGCCCGGCCTCCCCGCCCCCCCACCTGCCGCCGCCGGAGGGCGGGTGGTCCGGACCCCTGCCCGCGCCGCCCCGCCCCCGCGGCCCCGAGGCCGGCGCCCATTGGCCGGCCGCGAGCGGCGTCCCGCCCCCGGACACCGCGGGCCAATGAGCGCGCGGCTGTCAGCTCGTCAGCCCGCGGCCGAGGCGGCGAGCCGGGCGGCGCGGAGCCACAGCAGCGCTAGCCCGGCCGGTGCGACCGCGCGCCCGCTCGCCCGCCCGGCGGCCCGCCGCAGCGAGCATGGGCGCGGCCGTGCGCTGGCACCTGTGCCTGCTGCTCGCCCTGGGCGCGCGCGGGCAGCTGGCGGGCGGCAGCGGGCTCCCAGGTAAGCCCGGGCGGCGGGGCGGGTCCGGGTCCCTGCCCCGCGCCCCGGGGCCGCCGGGCCGCCGGCTCCTGTCCCCCGGACTCTGCGGAGGAACTTCGGGGCCCCGCGCCGGGCGCCCTCCCCGCGGCCCGGGGCCCGGGGCTCCCGGACGGCGGCCGAGCTGGGCGGTGGACCGCGGTCCCGGGGGAGGAGGGCGAGGGCGGGAGGAAGAAAGAAAGCGAGGACCGAGGGGAGCGCCCGGGGTTAGCGGGAGGCTGCGGGGGGGGGGGGGGGCGGGGAAAGGACGGACCAGAGGAAGGAGGGGAGCAGACGGTGGGACAGACGGACAGAAGAGACACGGAGGGCGCACGCAGGACAGGGAGAGCCCAGAGGGAGACAGGGTGGAGGGGACAGACACCCAGGACAGGAGACGCGAGGGGGCAGGAGGAGACGCAGGGAGGAAGGAAAGAAAAGATCAAATAGGGAGACGGAGGGCAGAGGAGCCAGGGGGACAGGATGGGGCAGATGGACAGTCGGACAGGAGGAGGACAGGACAGACGGCGCTGGGGGAAGGCGCTGGAGGAAACAAGGGAGGAGAGCAGACCTGGGACGCGGTGGCCGGAGATGCAGGCGGGAAGGAAGCAGCAGAAGCTGAGGAAGGAGGTGCTGGCATCCGAGCAACCCAGCCCCGGTTGGGTCAGAGCAGGAGCAGAGGAGGGGCTCCCGGGATGTCATGGGGCCCACTCCTGCCCCTGCCCTCCCCTGCCCTCCCCTGCCCGCCCCTGCCCTCCCCTGCCCGCCCCTGCCCTCCCCTGCCCTGCCCTGCTGTCTGGGAGGGACTCCCCACAAAGCCGAGGCAGGGCGCCCCCCCCAGCTTCCTCCCTCCTCTCCCTGGTGGGGGAAGGTCAGGGATGGTCCTGCCTGCCCAGGTGTTCTCCTGGGCTTTCTCCACCACTCCCCCCCCCCCGCCACACACACACACACACACACACACACACACACACCCCACACACACCCCACACACACACACATACACCCACACACACCACACACACACACCACCACCACCACCACACACAAACACCCCACACACACACGCACACACACACACACCACACTCACACACACACACACACACACACACACCCCACACACACCCACACACACACACATACACCCACACACACCACACACACACCACCACCACCACCACCACCACACACAAACACCCCACACACACACGCACACACACACACACCACACACACCACACACACACACACCCCACACCGCTGGCACACGGGGCTCCCTGGAGTCACGCCCTGAGGACGCGGGTCCCGCAGCTGCAGGAAGCTGGTCCTGCTGCCCACACCCCCTATCTGGGGCGCCCCTCCTGAGCTTTGAGGTCCCAAACTCCCGTTTGGCTGGTCCTGTATGCGCCTCCCCCGCCGTCCGGCTCTCCTCTGTGTCTGTCTCCACCCCAGCTCCACCCAGGGAGCCTTGTGCTGGGGAGCACCCCAAGCCAGAGCCTGCCATGGGGAGGCGGGCTGCCTGGGGGGGCGAGGGGGCGGGGAGCGTGGCTGGGCACCACGGACAAATGGCCTGTGGCTGCTGTCCACTCCTGCAGCTCACCTGCCCTCCAAGCCCCCCAGGGTGCCCTTTGCTAACAGCCATTCCTTCCATCCTCATGAGGGCCCCTCACTCCTGGCACTGGCCCCTGGGGAGCGGGAGAGCGGGGGCTGTCCTGTCTCGGGAGGGCTGCGGTGCCCTCTGACCTCTGGCTCCTGCCTGAGGCTGCACCACCCCTGCGTGGGGTCCCTCTGCCACCACTTCCCAGAAGGGGGTCCTGCCCGGGCCCCTTAGGGCAGATGTAGAGCCAGCTGCTGACCTGAGCAGCGCCAGCCATCCTGAAAAGTGGTGCCAGCTGCTGTGTGCACACATGTACGCGTGCATGCATGGGTCTGTGCGCGCGCACATGTGCGAGTGTACAGGGAAGTGACTATTTCTTTTGATGCTTCTTCCTTGGGCGGCAGGCTGGAGCCTGAGGATTAGGGCAGAGGAAACCAGCAGTGGTTTCCTAGAGATCCCACCCCACCCAGCCGGACCCCAAGGAAGCTGGTGCAGCCAGGGGTCCCTCAGGGGAGGCACCCCAGGACTGCCCAGGCTTGCCCTGGGTGATGGTGAACTGCCCGCTGGGGCCATCCCTCTGTCTGCCCGCCTCTGGGTGTCCTTCATAGCCAGCTGGCGGTAACACAGCAGGTAGACAAGCCCCTAAGGAGCCACCGACCTACAACCCCTCCCCCCGCCTCAGTTTCCTCATCTGTAACCTTCCTTATAGCTGAGGCTCTTCTGCCTCTGCTGTCCTCTGCCCCAAAGGCCCTCTCCCTGTCTGAGGTGTCTGTGCGTGTGTGTGTGTGTGTGTGTGTGTGTGAGAGAGAGAGAGAGAGAGAGAGAGTCTGTGTGTGTGTGAGAGAGAGAGACTGTGTGCGTGTGTGTGTGTGTGTGTGTGTGAGAGAGAGAGAGAGAGAGAGAGAGAGAGAGAGAGAGAGAGAGACTGTGTGTGAGTGTGTGAGTATATGTGTATGTGTGTGTGTGAGCATGTGTGTGTATATGAGTGTGTGTGTGTGTGTGTATGAGAGATTGTGTGTGAGAGTATGTGTGTGTGAGTATGTGTGTGAGTATGTGAGTATATGTGTATGTGAGAGTGTGTGTGTGTGTATGTATGGGAGAGTGTGTGTGTATGTGTGTGAGTATGTGAGTATATGTGTATGTGAGAGTGTGTGTGTGTGTGTGTGTTACAGTGTACACACAGATGCACAAATCTACTTTGCATTGCTTTGCCTGGAGCCGTTCCAGACTGCAGACATGTGTTGGGGTGGGAGGTGGGGGTACCAGGAGCCCTCAGAACCAAGACTGAACTTGACTTTGGAAGCTGGGATAGGAGAACCAAGTTTGAGGTGGAGGAGTGGTGGGGAGGGAGGAACCGAGAAGGAGCGGTGAGCCCCCCGAGGCAGGGCACTGGGGACCCTCCAGGCTGGGACCCAGAGGCCTCAGCGTCGGGTGGGGTCCCATGTCCCCATCACCTGCCTGGGTCTCCTGGCTTGGCCTCTGCTCATGGCTCCACGCCAGCCTCAGTTTCCCCATCCGTAGCCCAAAGGGGATGGATTTAAATGCTTTCAAGGGCTCTGAATCCTGCCATGGAGAGTGGGGCGGGCGGGAGCAGTGCTGGTGGAGGGAACAAGACACCGCGGGCTGCTCCTCGCTGGACTCCTGGCCTCGGCTTCCTCCCCGTTGGTGGGAATAATAGATGGACTTCGTGGCTGTGGTGAAACCAAGCGAGAACCGGCACTTGGGGAGCCTGGCAGAGAGCAGCTGCCCCTACAGTGCCCGAGGCCACTCGTCACACTGGATGCTCACGGCGCAGCTGTGGCCGTTAATTAGTCCAGTGATCGATGTGGGGCCCGGCAGGAGGCGCCCTGCTCCACCGCCCGCCTGCCTCCGGCCACACCTCACCAGCGTCTCCCCTCCCCCACAGGGGACGTGGACGTGGACGAGTGCTCGGAGGGCACGGACGAGTGCCACATTGATGCCATCTGCCAGAACACGCCCAAGTCCTACCGGTGCCTCTGCAAGCCCGGCTTCAAGGGGGAAGGCCGGAAGGGGGAAGGCAAGAAGTGCGAAGGTGAGTGAGCCCAGCCAGCCTCAGGCCTCCGGCCACCGCCAGGGTCCCCCACCCGGGGGTGGAATCAGGAGTCCTGGGGGCCTGGCTCCCCCTGGTTTGGAACTTTGGGGTGTTTAGTTTTGAAGAAATTGAGATGAAGTATTGCATGATCGATTGCCCGTCTCCCTCGGCGGGACGTGTGTGGGGTGAAGGCTGGAGGAGACAACCCCAAGCCTCCGAGGCACCCCATGTGGCCCGGCTTCCGAAGGACCTGCTAGTAGCTGGCCACAGCGTGGGGCTGGCTCAGTGACGAGAGCCGGGCAGGGCCTGAGAGATGTGCTGTCTGTCTGTCCGGCCTTCCTTCCCTGCCCTGGGGTGCTGGCTTGACCGTCTGGCACCGGACACCGCCCTGCCAGGCTGAGAGACAAGAGCAGCTTCCTCTCTCCAGGCTGGAGGGAACTGGGGAGCTTTGTCCGGGAGGGTCTGGTGGTTTGTCTGACTGCGGGCCTGGGGAGGGCCAGCCTCCGGGGCCACAAACAGCACGTGGCCCACGTGCACCCCAAAATGAGCAGCTCTGCCCAGTCCCCCCGCCTGACCCACTGAGGCCCGGAGCTCTTGGCGGCACGGCCGGTGCTCACCGGGCTTTGAATCCCGGCCCGCGGTTCCTCGCCGGACCCTGCCCCCACGTTTCCCCGTGAGATTTGTTAGCAAAGCGACACATGCGCTTCTGGACACGCTTCACAGGAGTTTTGCCAAAGCGGCTGTGCCTTCTGGGGACACTGGCTGTTTATCCTTCTCGTTCTGGGCATCCCCCAAGGCCGCGGCTGGCCGGTGACATGGCCTGGCCGTGCTGTGTGGCAGCGCCCTGGCCTCCCTGGGGCCCGGGAGCCGGGGGAGCTGGCGCCTGCCCACAGCCCTCTGGCCGGAGGCCAGGCCGAGGCGGACCGGGTAGGACATCAGCCAGGCGCACGCCTGGCCGGCTGCCGGCAGCGCCCGGGGGCTGGTTAGCTCGGTGGTTCCAAGTGGCCTGTTTTCTGACCCTCTGCTCCCCGCTTCCAGCCCAGCGCTCTGGCCAGGGAGAGCTGAGGGTGACTCCATCTCTGCGGTTCCAGCCACTCCCTCAGCTCGTCCTCCTCCGGCCCAGGTCTCAGGCCCCTTCCTCCAGCCCTGCCAGAGGCCACGCTCGGCCGCCTACCTGTCTCCCTGACACGTCCCAGCGCCGGCTTCGGCTGGAGCCCGGGCGGGCTCACACGTGCCGGCTCGATGAGCCCACATCCTCTGTGTGTGGATGAGAGGGAGGAGGCTGACTGTGTGCCACCAAGTGCCAGGCCTCCCTTTCCCCGGCCTGGCTCCAGCCTTGGCCCCTCACCTCCTGAAGGAACACACATCCTGGCCACACAGACACTCGCCGGGCTTTCCCTCGCCTGGAGCTCCTTCCCCACCTTTGTGTTCTGGCTCACTTCTCATCATGCTTTAGATTTGTCTCCTCCAGGAAGCCCTGGCTGATGCCTCCACCACACACACACACACACACACACACACACTCCACTACACACACACACACACACACACACACACACACTCCACTACACACACACACACACACACTCCACCACACACACACACACACACACACACACACACTCCACCTCATACACACACACACACACACACACTCCACTACACACACACACACACACACACTCCACTACACACACACACACACACACTCCACTACACACACACACACACACACACACATACATACACGCACACACACGCACACGCACACACAGCTGCTCTAGCGCCTCCCCCGCTCCCCGGGCTAGCCTCCCTTCACAGCACCTCTGGCTCTGGGTTGTGACGACGTGTCCTGCTCCCCCACTAAGCTGCGCGGCCCTGGGCTCGGTGTGGGCCGCCACCTGCAGGGGAGCTCGGGCTCCCTGTGAGCGCCTCAGCCGCTGAGCACCCTGGGTTTGCCCCAGGTTCCAGCTCTGGGGTGGGCCTGGCGCTGGCCGGAGCACAGAGCACGTTCCTCCGACTGGCTCTCCAGCCCAACTTCGTGAGCCCCGCGAGGTGCCTGGAGCGATGCGAGGGCCCGCGGACGAAGGCTGTCTGCCTGGTGAGAGCGAGCAGCAGGGGGGCCGGCCCGGGGCTGCCGCCCACCTCCGATGGGAAGGGTTAGGTAGTCTTTTCCCTCCTGAGCCTCAGTTTCTCCTTTGGCTAGATGGGCCCAAAATACCCCCACCGCAGGTGGTGGTCAAAGCAGAGACAAGCTATTACCCTCTGTCAGTCTGTCAAATAGAGGTGATAAAAGCACCGGCTTCATGGAGATAGGGAAGGATTGAATGTGTAGAAAGGATGTGAGCATAACCTGGCGCATTGGATACACTCTGTAAACATTTCAGCATGCTACCGAGCTGCTGGGGATGGTGCTGGGGATGGTGCTGATGGGATGGATATGTTCATGAGGATGACAGTGATAATGACTGTGATGTTGATGGTGAGGAGGAGGATGGTGATGATGACAATGAGGAAGATGTGGGGGAGGAAGAGGATGCTGAGGATGAGGATGTTAATGAGGAGGAGGATGAAGATGATGATGATGATAGTGATGTTGCTGATGAGTGAGAAGGATGAAGGTGATGAAGATGATGATAAAGAGGAGAATGAAGATGTTGATAATGATGATGATGATGATAGTGAGGAGGATGACAGTGAGGAGGATGAAGATGAGGATGAAGATGATGATGATGATGATGATGGCAGTGAGGATGAAGATGATGACAGTGATGTTGATGATGACAGTGAGAAAAATGAAGATGATGATGACAGTGAGAAAAATGAAGATGATGATTACAGTGATGATGACAGTGAGGAGGATGAAGATGAGGATGAAGATGTTGATGATAAAGAGGATGATGAAGTTGTTAATGATGTGATGATAGTGACTTTGAAGATGAGGATGAGAATGCTGATGATGGTAACGATGACGGTGGTGATGATGATGATGATGAGACCATGATTAAGCTGATGATCATAAGGTTGTTCAGCATATGAAACTGGGTGTGGCTTTGTCTTTTTCCAGCAATTCCCAGATTCTAAAATGGCCGGGAAATGTGAGGTTCTGGTTCATTGGTGATTTGGATAAACCATATGCATATATTCATATCCCCATGGAGACATACGGACACGCGAGAACGCACACTAAGATGACAGTGACAGAAGGCTTTCCCCTGTTCCACCAAACCTCCTCAGGGCCAGAAATGCGCTGCCCTGCCCTGCGCAGACATCACCAGTCCATCGCCGCACCTTCCCGGCAGCACTCCCTGCCCTGCGCAGACATCACCAGTCCATCGCCGCACCTTCCCGGCAGCACTCCCACTTTGGGAAGCCGTTTGCCTCCCGGGCTCTCTGTCTGCGGGTCCTGAGTTGGTGTGGGTTGGCAGAGACTGGTGTAGGAGATGGGGGAAATGAGGACCCTGTCTTGAGATCTGATAGACAGCGCTACTTACTGTGTTAAGCACTGGGGACGGATTCTCTGCAGCCATGCCAGAGCACGCGGCTGCCACAGCGGCCACGTCTCCCCAGTCCTTCACGGGAAATGGACTCAGGGTCTGGGAAGCCCTGGTGGGGTTGAGGGGGGTGACTGCACCTCTTAAACCCTTTACTGTGTCATCTTGCAACTTCTGCTGGTTGTATATGGCCATCCCTTTTGCACACCCAGCCCCCCAGGCAGCCCGCCCCGCACTCGGACTGTTTCTGAGCACGCCTTTGAGGCCATCGTGCCATGCAGTGCGGCCCATGAGGTGCGGGGATGGCTGAGCCCTTCTGAGTGCAGGCACTGTGTCAGGGGAGCAGTGCGGGGCCCATGCAGTCAGCTGGCAGGAGGCTTGCTTATTCAGGCTGAGGGGCCTCAGACTGGTGGGAACGGCTGTGAGCAAGGCTGAGGGTGACTCCGTCTTCCTGATGGTGTGCATCCTGACAGCGTTTGAAGTACTCGAGGTAAATCTGTGCATGTGCAGAGTTGGAAGGAACATGAACAGGTCCAGGGAAGTCCCTGTGCTTTACAGATGACCACACCAGACCTATGCACACCTCTCAGACCTATTCACACCTCCCCAAACCCATTCACACCTCCCCAGGCAGATACACACCTCCCAGGCCCATTCACACCTCCCAGGCCCATACACATCTCCCAGACCCATACACACCTCCCAACCTATTCACACCTCCCTGGACCCATACACACCTCCCAGACCCATTCATACCTCCCAGTCCCATACACACCTTCCCTGACCCATTCACACCTCCTAGACCCATTCACATCTCCCCGGACCCATACACACCTCCACTTAGGCCCTGTCACTTTACATTTATGTTTCCCTGTGTGTCCTCCTGGAATGTGGGCCCCTCAAGGGCAGGATTGGTGGCCTGTTCCCCTCCGATCCTAGAATCCAGCACAGGCCTGGCATAGGGCACGAAAGGCTGGGAGGCTGGATCGCAATGGTCACCTCTTCCAGGAAGCCTTCCCAGCTGCCCCAGACAGGTGAGCTGTCTGTCACTGTGGCACCCTCCTCCAGAGCTCCTGTTACACTGCGTTGCGGTGACCTATGTGACTTAACTTAATCCTGGCCCAGAGCCAGCGCCTCCCTCCTCTGAAGGTCTCACAGGCGAGGAAACAGGCCTGAGGAGGAAGGGCCTGGTGAGGACATCTGGTGCAGAACTGCAGCAGAGTGAGGCTGGGGAGGTCAGTCTCTAGCAGAACCTGGATCCAACCCTGGTCAATTGTGGGATCCCAGCAGAGGGCCACGCCCACCAGCCTGTGTGGACAGATCCAGCTCCGGAGTCGTGGAGGGGGCTGCGGAGGGAAACCCTTTCCTGTGCCCACCACCACCCCCTTGCTGCCGCCAGCCCATCGGAGCCGGACCATGCGAATGCCATGGTCTCAGAACACATCGCCCATCGTGTAACTAGGAGGTGGCATCCCTCGGCTTGGCCAGCACTCAGCTGACCACTTA